TATTAATATCGGAACGGATATCCGATAACATAGCAACTCGAATATGGATTTAACAATCAAATATCCGTTGGATTATCGGATCAGATCGGACCTGATAAATTTTTTTATCTTATCGGATCGGATATAGACAGATCCGATCCATATTCGATCCATTTACAGCCCTAACTGTTATGTCCAAAATGAATTAAGAATTTGGAATTTACCCTTTCCGGTGGAAGAAGAAAATCTTACTATTTTTTTTCAGGTTTTGCCACTTCGACAGAAAATTTCAACAAATGCTTGAACATAATTTGAGGTGGCAAAAAATGATTTGATACGAAAATTGACTGTATTTAAAACAATCAAATGATATAATGTCACGTGACTTATGTTAAACTTTATATTAAAAAATCTGGCACTCTAGCATAATTCTTTTTTTTTTTTTTTATCAGATTTCAATCAACATGTTAAACAGAAATGAAAATATAATTTTGAAATTGTTCATTTGGGTCATATAGTTTAGGTTTCGACTATTTTAAAATCCAACCAAATCATTTAAAAATGGTTCGCTTTAAATTACTTGCTATATCCAAAATATATTATTTATTATATCAATTTATACTTCAAAAAAGTCACTTGCTAGTCGGCTTCTACGGGCTCTTTGGAGAAATAATGATTTATTTATAATGTTAATTTTTTTATCGAAATAATTAAATTACAAGCTTAAATTTCATGGTTGAACTTCTTTTAATTTATTGCTTTAAATTTATATTGAGACAAATATATTTTATGTTTTAAAAATCTTAGTCTAAGGAGGGGTGGACAGCCGGACACGATCAATTTACTTTTGGGGCACAATTAAACTTGCAAAAAAGTTGTGATGGATTTTACAATTGAAATTTACATTAAGAAAATAAATCATACCCTATGTAATTTTACATCCGAAAATTTACATGTGACACGACTTTTTCGGATGTAAAATTCAAAATTTTTTGATATCATATCCCATGTAAAATTTTCTAATAAAATGATGTAAATTATATTGAGAAATTTGTCGGCAAAAATAATAAATGTTTGTACAAGTTATTTCCCAAAGGACTTAATTGATCATCTTCCATAGTTCACTCACCCCACTGTATTTTCTAATAAAATGATGTAAATTACATTAAAAAATTTGTATCGCAAAAATAGCAATAATTGAATTTTTTTAAAGAAAAGACGAGTTAGTCGCGTTTTTTAAAGATGTACGTCTGACGCATCTTTAACTATTTTTAATATCTGTTTTGACTATTTGATATGAATATAATATAGTTCTCGAAACGAGATTCGAGATGACATATGTGATTTGTAGATTCAGTTAGCATACGATCGTCAGATAATTTTAAAGCTAGCATGTTATCAAAATTCTCGAAATATTAGTTTGGAATTGCCTACTTTGACATCTGGTAACATTTGCAACAGCTGGTCATTTTGTGCAACATTAACGATGTAAAAAATTAGATCATGAGTACTTTGAAATAATATTAAAAATGAAATATTTCAACTTTGTTTGATTTCTCATAATGACTTCGAAAATTAAGACAAAATCATACCACCCCATGTGTCAAGAACCGCAACTTTACATAGCCCCTTGACCCAATCTCAATGGCAATTTGCCCAACTTTGGTCGTTCAATGTAAATATTAGTTCAGTTTGAGTTGTATTTTCATTTCTATTGTAATAGTTTATTTCAATTGTAAAATAACTCCGATGTTGATAAACGTTTAGTACGATTCCTCGTCATTTAAACGTCTACTCATATCACTTTTATTTTTGCTCGGCAAGCCATTATACGGGGTATTAGTCATTCAAATCTTTCGAACTTATTGGTGTTCGCCCCTGTACCAACCATTGTAATTTTCGCTTTCATCAATCAATGATCAATTTACTTTCAATGCAAACTTTCTACAAATTGTAATAAAATTTTCTTTTGTCCCTAAATAATTGAGAAAAAGGCGGAAAGTTATCTAACGAAGCAGACTACTGCACCACGATATCCCTTTCTGTGTCAAGAAGAAAAGCACCCATTGAAACCATGTCATGCAAAACCAATATGATATGATGTGTCAAACATTGATGTATAATCAAAAGCACAAAAGTTGCTGTGTACATTACTTCAAGGATAAAATATTTTATTCATAAAACTTATATAAGGCTAGTATCTCTTCTTGAGTTTGGACATTTATTTCCTTATGAAAATCTAATATTTTAGAATTTTTGTATCATGCTTCTTTGAGAGGAACACAATATTCTTACAGAATATTGATAAATGTAAAGTTTTGCATTTTCGAAAACACAATTTGATATTATTCAAGAATATTCATATGTAATATTTTATGCTTCTTCAGGAGCAATAACATGATATTCTTCTGATATTTTTATATGTTGTGGGTTGTAATATTTCTTCGAAAACGTCAACAACATATTCGTTTATAACAAATACAATTTTTAGTTATGTTTCTTTAAAAACATAAGCATTATTAAATAGCTGTACTCTATTCAAGAAAATTAATAATATTATATATACTTCAAAAATATTAAAAATTATAAAGTTGTTCTCTTCACGAACGAGTTAATACCCTAAATAGTCACCGAACTTTGCCAAAAACTTTTCAGGAGGTCATCGAATTTCAAAACTTCCCTAATTTGCCACTGAATTTTGCAAAAAAGTTCCTAAGATGTCACTGAACTTTAAAACTACCCTAAATAGTCACTGAACTTTGCTAAAAGTTCCTAGGATGTCACTGAACTTTAAAACTATCATAAATAGTCACTGAACTTTGCTAAAACTTCCTAGGAGGTCACCGAACTTTGCAAATTGTGACCCCATACATCAATGACTTAGTGACCCCCTAAAATTTTTTTGCAAAGTTGAGTGACTAAGTATGATAGTTTTGGAAAAGTTCAGTGACTATTTAGGGTAGTTTCGAATTTCAGTGACCTCCTAGGAACCTTCTGCGAGTTCAGTGACTAATTAGAGAAGTTTTAAAGTTCGATGACCTCTTGAAAACTTTTAACAAAGTTTAGTGACTATTTAGGATATTAATCCCTTCACGAACAATAATACTTATTGTATCATAATATAAACTTACACTTCTTAAGGAGCATTAGTTACATCAAAAAATTTAATCGATCTAAAATAAAATTTCACTAATTATGTAAATCTAATCTTACAAAATATAATTAAAAGATTTGTCATTATAAACTTAGTTGGAATAGAAAGATAAGTCATTTGGAGAAAGTAATACTTAAATTTGAGAGATTTAGATAACTATAAGTAGTCTCAAAATCTTTATCAATGTAAATCTTAAAAATTATGTTGTTCTTCAAAAATTCATCAAAAATCACGCAGTGATTTTTCACGAATTATCGTTCAACTTAAATCTTAATCGTTGTATTTTAAATAACAAAGAGTTGTAAACATCGGATCACGAGATGCTGAAATATCAATATTTTATTAAATCTCTAAAATTAATTTTTATTGATTAGAGTTTAGGAAAAAAGAAGTAATGTCTCACACCATGTATTTTCTTAAAAATAAATTCATTTAAAATCAGCATACTCAAACATGCTAAAACTTGCCACTGATGTTAATTCTCTTATTACTTTTAGAAAATGAAGAAAAAAAAAGTTAAAATTATTAACTGCCGAGGCTGACCAATGGGAAAAAGCGGGAGAAGGGGCCCCACTTATCCAACTGCCTTCACACATTCAAATCCAACGTTCTATTTCATCTAACGATTTCATCAGCTTATCTCTGCCAGCACCAATGGCTTCAACTCCTCTGCTTCCAAAATCCATCTCCCCTTTTCTGCTAAACCCACCTTTATTTCCACTAACTCAATGCACCAATGTCTCTTTCTTGAACAATCCACCCGACCAATTTTTTTGCTCCAAAAAATCGACCACATTTTTGCCCAATGCCAAGAAGAAAAACTTCTGGCTTGACCCTTTCGACGATGGCGATGATCCTGAAATGGAGTACGGTTCATTGTTTTCTGAAGGCAAGCAGGAGGAGGACCCGAGGCCACCGGATAATCCAAAGAACCCCTATGGATTTCTTAAGTTTCCAATGGGTTATAATGTGGAGATAGCTTCATTGGGATTGAAGATTAGAGGAGATGTTAGAAGATGTTGTTGTATGATTTCAGGTGGTGTTTACGAAAATCTGCTGTTTTTTCCGGCGATTCAGTTGATTAAGGATAGGTACCCTGGTGTTCAAGTGGATGTGGTGGCATCAGCGAGAGGGAAGCAGACTTTTGAGTTGAATAAGAATGTGAGATGGGCTAATGAATATGATCTGGATGATGATTTTCCTGAACCAGCAGATTATACTGACATGATTGGAGTTCTTAAGGTTTGTCAATAATATGGTATTTCTATGCTCGATTGAAGATCATCGGGTTCGCGTTCGTGTTCGTGTCTGTCCCTCTCCATTTTTTGGTGTTCTTCATACGTTATTTATCACTTGTTCAGTTGTAATTTAGTATGATAATTTAAGGTTTTCATTTTGCTAAGTATCTAGTTGCTACGAATAGTTATTTCAATGAACTGAATGGAATAATGAAAAGGGATTCATGTAGCCGAGGCTTGGTTTATCGATGTTATATGGAAGGTTTGCGTTAACGAACATGGTAATCTAGTATAAATACACTTTTGATTGATTGCAGAATAGGTATTACGATATGATCTTATCAACCAAGTTGGCAGGGCTTGGTCATGGAGCATTCTTGTTTATGTCATCATCCCGAGACCGAGTAAGCTACGTTTACCCCAATGTGAATGCTGCAGGAGCAGGACTATTCCTATCAGAAACATTTACTGCAGATAGTCAGAATCTATCTGAGGGTGGATACAATATGTGAGTACCTAAAGATCCCGCAAAGATATCTGATAGTTTATCGTTTTAACACAATAGACATCCTTGTCGAGAGGCAAAAAATTTGTCGGTCCATACGGCTGGACTGTGTTCATTGAAGAGTACAGTTATCCCCTCTCACGTGGATTGCCCTAAAATTCCTTATGCGGCCGGCCCTCAGTTGTGAGAGGCAAGGGATTGTACTCTTATAAGGAAAAATGTAGCGATAAGTGAACATAGATCTCACATTGAGGGGGACTACTATATATTTGTGTATTTGCTTTTCAGTTTTCGATTTCGTCTGTTTATTGTTACTTTCTTACCAAGAGATAACACATTCAACAATGGACTAACTCAACATTGCAAGCAGTGATATATCTATATGAATCTTATACACGTGAAATCCTTTCTTGGGACGTTGGATTTAGGTATCATCAGATGATTGATTGGCTTGGGAGACCAGGTCGAAATGTGCCGAGGCAACCTGTGCCTCCGCTAAAAGTGTCGATCTCGAGGAGGTTAAAGGAGGTTGTAGAGGTAAAATATAAGAATGCCGGTGCACAGAAAGGGAAATATATTGTCATTCATGGAATAAAGTCAGACTCAAAAGCCTCAATGCAGTCCAGAGGTGACACTGATAGCTTGCTACCAATTGAAATATGGGCTGAAATAGCTAGTGTAATAAGGTATGGAATGTACTAGCAGTCATTTCTTCTCATAAATTTGGCAAAATTATACTAATCTCTAATAAAAAATTTCTTGATTAATAATGTGAACAGCGGACTCACACCAGTTTTCGTCATTCCGCACGAGAAAGAAAGGGAAGACGTAGAAGATGTTGTTGGGGATGATGCTAGTATAGTGTTTATTACCACCCCTGGACAGGTTTTTTTTTCTCTACCTTCATTACGATGTTTCAGTAAAAAATTTCGATATGACAGTGGGTTGCCTGGGATTTGAACCCAGAACTAGTCGGATGGAGTAGATAATTTCCTTGCACTCGGAGAGTCTTTTTAGGATCTTTGCTACAACACACCGTAGGAAAAAGGCTTAAGAGAATGTTTGCCTGAGCTTAAAAAATACCTTCAAAGGTCTTTACACGTTACTTCATTTTTGATGTTCAGTACAAAATCTTGCTTATTCAACTGCAAGTCTTTTACATTTCCTTAAACTTAGTCAAAGATGCAGTTAGCTCGTTGTTGTTTTAGTAGGATACATATATTTGACAAGCATCCAATACTAAAGGGTTAAATTTGCTTTCTACTATGCTTCTGTTTTAGCTTGCTACTTTAATCAATGACTCGGCCGGGGTAATAGCTACAAACACAGCTGCCATACAACTTGCACATGCCCGCGAAAAACCGAGGTGATTCCTATTTACCTCTTTTGATTTATAACAAAGAAAGAAAAACTCCCTATTCAGTTGAATTACTCTGAGGAAATGCACCTCCTTTTTATAAATTATGTAAACAATTTTTTTCTGGTTTCATATTTGCTGCAGCATTGCATTATTTTGTTCCGATGATAAGGCCAAGTTATTTGTTCCGAATGCTGAAGAGAAGAAATGTGCAATTTTTTCGTCAAAGACGGGAAAATTGATAGACATTGATGTTGAAGCTGTGAAGACTGCAACTCAGATTTTCACCATGCCCTTGGTTATTGCCTAGCTATTGCCATTTCTATCTTTGAGGTCTATAATGATTAGAAATGCAGGAAAATTTGTATAATTGTATTATTCTTTATATTGAGAAAACGCATAACAAAATGGGGTACAAAAAGTTCTATCATTAATTGATGAGTACTGCTACACTTACACACAAACGAATTTGTGCTTTGCTTGTCTTCAAGCTTCCAACATATCGAGATATTTTATCAATCATCTCACCCAGTGATAGAAAAGAACAATTGAATTCCACAATCATGTCAAGGATTTAGATGAAATACCTGACGATCAAATGGAACTTAATTCTCCTAACGGTCATGCTAATGAATTAATCTTGACATGTGATAAGTTCAATCCACTACAAGTGTATTAAATCACACTATTTTTGAGATAATGACAAATCGTAATCCCGAATATTGAAGTAGTGCAAAAAATTTGTTCAGATAAAATTCATAAGCGTACGAGATTGTTGACAAGTAATAATATGATGAGTTGAGTTATCGTCCCACGAGAAATAACTGTTAACTATAGATCACTAGTTTGTATCAAATTCGATGTTTATAACACAAAAGAATTGATTTGTTAGTATTTATTTCAACTTAAGATAAGAATATGTAAAGAATTGATTTGTATCAAATAATGAGATGAATGTATTAGATTTCAAAATGCACATATTGACTTCATTTCATTTTCTCAAATCTTGTAATTTAGTGATCTTCAAGTATTCGTGACAATCGATAATCCATTAATATCTAATATTCTTTTTCAAGATATACTGAGCATATCATAAGCATGACCAAATTTTATTCCTAGTCCGAATTCATATGCAAAGTAAGATTCAATCACACGATTATCAACCTAAATTGCACACATCACGGATATTATTCCTAATACCTATTGCATGTGTGTCAAAAATGTAATATTCTAACCTATTGTGAATCTTCTAACACTAAAATAAGCAACAAATTGTCTAAATAGTAATCAAGCATCCAAACAATAAAATAAGCATGCATAATTGATCAAGATTACAAGAATTCACTAAAATACTTAATGTTTGAATTGAAAATAGTAATCAATAGGTTTTATCATTCATCCAATACAAAGAAGTTTATCATAGCATTATGATATTCAAATTCTATAAAAGATATTGAAAAGACATTACCCGTATGAAATAACTAGAAGATCTTGAAAATTCAATTTTTTTTTAAACAATTGACTTCAATTTGAATCTTGAATTCCTGTTGTAAAACTCTTGTTTACTTCTTGCTAGCCACTTCAACGATAAAAACAAGATTCTCCACATTCTGGATCTCCCTTAGATTATAAAAGATGCCAAATACATCATCCTAAAACTTGCCGAATCAAGAAAATGAAACAAAATATTTTTCCTTGAACTCCTTCTAGGCACGCGCCTAGTTTAGTGTGAGGTGTGCGTCTGGTTCAGTGAATTTGGCAATAGACGTCTATAGTGAGGGGCCAAGCATGCACCTAGTATAAACCCTCACGCGCACGCCCACGAGCTGGATTTTGTCTATGAGCAGCTATTAATATTTTTGTCATATCTTTGTCTTACAATATCTGATTAAGGCGATTCAAAGTGTAATGAATTCTAACTCGAAGGACTACAGTTCTTCTAAAAATATTATTTTTTTCACTTCAAACATTTGCTATACTAAAAAAGGGTCTCAATCTGAGGCTGAAAATTGATGTGTGAGAGTACTTTAACTATATTTCACCTTTTGACATATTTTCTCATCAAATTGACCCTAAATGCTTGAATCTTCATCGTGAGATCCAACACAATTTATGAATATTTGAATATTAGTATCCAAATTTTGGATCTTTTGTAATTGAGTCATTTATATTATTTTTCTCCAATTCCGCCATTTATATCGATTTGTACCTAACAAACACAATATACATGGAATTAAGCCATAATTCATTAAAATGATGAATAAATACTCTAATTTAAAGACCCAAATAAGTGTACACAATACACTTATCTTAAGCACTACAAATTTTCAATACAATGTGACAACAGTTATAAATTGATTGTGAATCATTTTATTTATGATCCAAATATAATCACGTCACACTATGTTTTTCATGTACCGAATTTATATTATCATATGTGGTCATTGACAATTTTACTCACGTGCTCAATATCAAATAAACTACAATAACACAAAATAATTTAAAAATATAATTTATTTATTATGAAATTGTTATTTTACAACAGCAAAATTATACTATATAGACACAACTTATCAATGGTAACTTCAAAATTGGTAACATGATAATGGTAGTTGACTTTGATCAACTCTCTTTGACTAGATCGTTCGGATGAGAGCCCACAAATTGAAAATGAGAGGATGATGAGTTATTCACATGGTCAGAATAAAATTGAAAATTAAGAGGCCGTTCTCTTCGTATTTCAATTTTATGTTTTGAGTTTTGTATTGTGAGTGTCAATTTTGAGATTATTGAAAATGTGTTCTTTTTGACATTTTAAAAAATTATTTTGAAAANCGCATTTACTTTGAAATTTTGAGAATATTTTTTTATAGTATTTTATTCAATAAATCTGATTATTCAATAAATTTTAATAGTTTAATGTTAATCAATTGAAGAAAAAAATTAATGAGGTAACATTGCTAAAATTCTCTCGTCTAATTCAAATGCTTTGTCTTATTTCTTTGTCCAGAACAAAGAAAAATGCATATATTATCTTTATCACAATTTTCATACAAAAATAACAAATCTTTCAAACTATTTAATTTCAGACAAGGAAACCATTTTTCACTCTTATGTGCAACTTAAGCTAAAACTTGTAAAACATTGATTGAGACATTAATTAATACATTACAACATAAGATACAAAGATACCTGAAGTCATACAAAGATACAACCTAGTTAATTAACTATCAGATAAATCGCAACTAATTTAGAAGGTAATAGTAAAAGAAATGACAATGGAAAAATGGAAAAAACTACATTAGAACATCTGTCTATCTATTAAAACTACATAAAAAGGGATTAAATTCAAGTATCATGGTTATAATGCCAAGTACAAACATAACTATTAGGCCTTATCATACAAAAGAAATTTCTACCTTGGGGAGTACAAAGTTAGAGATAATGTTGTACTAGAGCTAGTAGCCAAATAACAAACTACTCGAAAGTTCAACAACTTCCTATTTCATGATAGATAACATAAGCACAATGCACACTATTTTGTTTGACAAAATGATATGGCGTGGTAATTCCATTCCATTAATTGAATTGACAAAACATAACCCTACAAATCAAGTTCTCGAATGGAATTTCCCCACTTCATATCTCTGGTTATGTTCTGATCTATTGTGTTTTTTACTTGGACTGAGTTTTCATATAGAGAGAACAATGCCAGTAACTGAAAGAAAGGATAAAAAAGGGTACAGAAAGTATTCAAAATTTTGAGAAAAGTCACACAAGAAAAGCGAGGGGAGGTTGAGTCTGAACCAGCATCATTCTTAAATCTGAATGACTGCCACAGGTTCTCTACATCACAAAGGTTTATAACTCTGCTCATAAAGAGAAGGGAAGACATGTTTCACTTTGGTTCTCATTCATCCCATGTACTGAATCAGCTTCCATTTGTAGCCAATCTGCTAATAATCAAAATCACCAATCTACCACCGTCACCACTTTTGACGTCGTAATCCAAGAACGCAGAACTTCTATTCACTTCTTTAATGGAACAGATCCGAACCCTTGATTCTACAGACACGCATAATAGATAAATATAAATATCCCATATATCCATCTACGGCTGCAGGACTAAACAATTCGTAAGATTAAGGAGCTGGGAAAAACAAGGCAATGGCATAAGTAGTTAGGTATATAATTTGTTTCCAACAGTGTGTATGCTGCCCTTCGATTCTGACAATGCATCCCAACATTTCATCAGAACTTGTAGCCATCCTGACTGACCATGGGTTTGTCCATATAGAACTCTACTAACCTAAGCATCACTGCCACATCAGGTCACTTCATGCTCTCAACTTGGAGCTAAACAAGCTTATGCAACTCTTTACAATTTCGCAATCAAAGTTGGATGTTTCAATAATTTGATCTTAAATATATGCAATTAAGCATCCTTGTGAGATTTTCATATTCACCAATAAAATATAAGAGTTTAATATTGAGTATTAATCAAGACCATGGTTATACCATAAAACTCCAAGCATTAAGAGAGATGACTTCAAATATCAGCAGTTACATACAATAGCAGTGTTTACAGAGAGAAGAAAACGAGCAAAAAAGGAAATATACATTCACTGATGCATAATTTGAAGAACAGATGGCAATTATAGCATATAATTATATAAGTAAACTACTGCTCCATGTCAATTCCGATGTACATATGAAACAATATCCCTCATCACTGACTTGGGGAGACATGCAACTCATCAAAGGCCTAACGATTAGAAGTATTATTCAGCAATCCAAATTAAAAATCTAAACAGAATCTTCACTTTCTCATTTATCAAAGACAAATGAATAAATATAGGACTAACAATAGTAAGTAGGCCGACAGCCTTTGAAGCCACCAATTATCATGTCCAAAAATAGAGTAACAAGGCAAACACAGAAGCATCACACATGGTTCCATTATTCAGGAAAGGTTCCATTTAAGAAATTCCCATCCAGTGTAACAATATGAAGTTGACCAATTCTTCAAAGTGTTTGAGGAATAGAACCATATAGAAAATTACAACTCAAGTCCAAGTATTCAAGTGACTGCAATCTACAAATTTTTACGAGGATTGAACCCCAAATGCCTAATGATACCAAACTAAGGGATTTCAATAGCTTCCTTAGCTGCAGAAGTACTTGGGTTTGGGAGAATTGTAGTCCATAGGCTCCCAAAAATAAGAAACTAAAAAATAAGCTGCAAATTGAAAGAAAGATCAAGAAAAGTACAAAACTTGGGTGAATATCACGATTTGTAGAAGTGGGCTG